TGTCCTGCGGAGTGTTATAGCACTACATGTCTCTCACATTCTCTCCTCGGTGTATACCAGTATAAGCGAGAATTCATTGTTCTCCACGGGTACACTATCTTTGTGCGCCCAATTATCTCGGATGGAGCCTGGAGACTGCCAGCTCGACATCCAGCTCACCTCGTCCAGACGCCTTCGTGTCACAGTTGAACCAATGTCAGGTGCCAGTGTTCTTTCGACGACGCCTAGCATATTGGATCGTTTCGATAGTGACCGCGGACCCGATAAGTCGCTCACTGATGAAATTGCGTCTCGTGTGGCACGGATTCGTTGTTTTTCTGCGATAGAAGAGATTGAGTCAGATCTGAGGATTCTTGGCTTTGAAACCGTCAACCCTAGGTCTCTTAAAGTTGACATCCGGAGAATCTTCCTGTCTAACATTATACGGTTTACGTTCTTCCGGCATCATCTATGGGAACCTAATTGGCTTATAGCCGCGACGAGCAGCATGGACAGCGATAACTGGTGGGTCATACAGCTTCGACCGACGTTGTCAGCAAATAAACACCCAACTCTTGGTGCTCAGAATACATCTATGCTCCGATCAGCTCAAGTCATCAGCAGTAGGTTCTTTACTGCGCAGCAACACACAAGCTATGCGGCGTGTGCGGATCTTGGGCATTGTCTTACTGGGATACTGGCGATCTATGCCAATGCTCGCTTTCTGGTGGAATTGCAGTGCATCCATTTTCACCCACCGCTGCATAAATTACAAATTGAAACGGGCCTTAGAACACCAGATATTTTCATTCGCTACGAAGCCTCGAATCTTCCTCCCGCTTTGCAGATAGCACAACCTGCTGGATTGAAGAAATCTTACATTAAAAACACTATTCGCGTTGCCTTTCACGGCATCGATCCTCACAAGAATATCGCCATTCTCGTGGCGTATGGGAGCTTATCAATGCCTGTCAAGTCTCTGGGTACGCTGGTCTCGAAATGGGATCCTTCTATCGTTTTTCGGCAGAAAGGCGACGGCTTTGCGATTCGTCTTCTTGCGCCGGCAGGCCAAGTTGTCATCGTAGATCTCATCGAGAAATTACAACGGCTCGAACGGATACTGTCCATTATCGAGTCTCTCCAACGAAAGAAAATGGACGTTTTGTCACTGTCACTATCTCACATTGCTTTCTCTTATGGTCCTGGCAAGGCCCTGCGTGCCAACATCAATGTCAGCACGTCTGGACCCTCGCCCTCTGCGGATACTGACCTTGCCGGCATCCCATCGAAGACCGATTCAGTTTCCCTCCAGCGCCTGGGAATTTCCTTTGATTATCCAACCCCTCACCGGCGCATTCAAGAATCCTTGACAACTAGTTTAAACAATGCATCTAGCGAAGCCGGCCTAGACTCCTTCTTTGAACTTCTCACTCTCACCCTTCCATTGTTGCGGGCTCTCGACCAGATAACCGTCAATCAATCCCACAACGAGCCGCTGAAGGCGCAAATAACAGTGCGCAATGCGAAAACATATCAGATTCACTATCCTATCGCAAAGTTTCGCTTTCAGCTAGTTACTGGCCAGCATTTGAACCGGATGACTTGGATATTGAAAGATGTGAGCGGCACACAGGACAGATCACATCAAGGCCAAATCACAGGCAGACTACGAGAAAAGCTGTACAATGCAAAGGGTGATGGCTGGAGAGGGCTCGGAACCGGGATGGTTGCAGATGTTGACAAAGTTTCGAATCTCATCTTGGAACTTGACGGCTGTTTTAGCGATTCTCGAAGCACTATAGCTACGCCGGGCCATAGCGCGGTAGGACACGGTACCAGGAACGTCAGCCAACAGCAGGCAGTCGGACAAGGCGGCCCTAGACAAACTTCAAAGGCAGGAGTGCCCCCTAGTGGAGGTGCGCCTGCTGTTGGGGCTCCTGGCAGGAAACCTGAACAGAAAACTTCGGACGATGTTATCATGATTGACTAGCGATTTTGGAAAAATTTCTTGCCGTTTGTCTGGTAGGAGAGAAATGGCGTTTCCTTTTGCCCTTTTTTTGTTTTTCTAATGCATATGAAGATATCATTTCCGGCGGCGTTCTATGTTGCCGTAGGCGGCATGTTATGCATTTTCTTTTTCTTTGTTTCTTTTTCTTTTTCTTTTTTTTTTTTTTTTTTTTTAACATGTAAAATGGAATTCTTACTTTATATCCCATAATATTTACATGAATCCGAGTTCTTTCAAATTGGTATCTTCATAGGTAATTATCGTTTCAGGTAGAGTTCTATCGTGAGAATAATAAGTCGTCATCTCCATAAACGAAAAGCGTAACAATGGCCTAAAAGCGATCCTGTTTCACCCTCCCTCGGTTCTTCAGGATGTCATATTCAACCCATCTAACTACCGAAGACAGCTCGCCTTCAGGAACCAATCTTCCAGGATTCATAATATGGCAACCTTCATAGGTTACAGAGAATGGTGCAGCCTCCGCATCTGCCAGTATGGCTGCAGTTGGCAATGGGTACAATTGCAAAGAAGATGCATAATCCCATAAAACAGGTCGCAACGAAAGCGGGAATGGTGACAATGTTCCTTGATCTAGTATAGTTTTGACCAGTTTCCGAGCCATGAGCACAGCAGGTGATGGCGAACCTGAATTCGTACCTCCTTGTTGTGCAGATTCAGGCCCCTCTTCTAATGTTAGGGGGTCGGCATTGGTTGCTGGGTCCTCGCTCATCGTGATATCAGGCTCGTCAGTGTCCGGTTTAGTGCTCACTGCGCCGCGTCGCAGCCTTCCTGAGATATCATCCCGAAAGACGGCAATATCGTGCACCGGCCCAAACAAGGTAAATCGACATGGGTTGGAAGTCCAGATAGCTTCGCCAGGTGGCTCAGCCGAGTCAGAGCGCTCTGCTTCGGCATTGGCCATGGCGAATGCACGTCTTACTCTCGAGGTGAATAATTCCGGAATTGCTTGCCGAGGAACTGTAGACACTGCACCGGCTGAGAAAGCAGACGCCCACGGGTCATTATCGCCTGGAACAAATATGAACGTAGAATGTTGTAGCAGCATCGGAAACTCGGACAGGACTAGGGCAAGCGAGTCGAAATATTCTTTGTACTCAATGCTGCCCGCTTGACCTCCCCCATTAATTATGGCCTTTTGGACGAAGTTTCCGATGAGAACAAAAACGAGCGGGCGTTCCGTTAGGGGGAGGTCATTGTACAGGTTGAAAATCCTCCTTAACGCATCCAAAGTCTTCATGTCGTCCAGATTTACCTCGCCCAGAATTGCCATCTTAGGCCGAGTTGGGGTTTCAGAACCCTCTTGATCATCATGTATGCATCTAGCTTGAATTTTCCGCATACGCGAACCACGTGCACGTTCGCTCCCAACGCCCAGAAAGTCGATCCACCCAAAGCCGCCGCTGGAGCTAACCTCTCCACTGCTTTGCTGGGTACTTGTCCCTAGAGAGATCTCCCTTCGTTCGCAAGGAGGGCCGCAAATAGAAACACCAACAAATTTCCCTCCTATGGCACCTCCAATTCCACTATTCCCCCCAAGAATCGAGCCCCGAATATTCTCTTCCTCTTCGTAAATGCCGTCGACTAGTACAATCATCCCAGGCGCAAACCAAGCACCATCTTCAGGGATCATACGTGCATGGCCCAAGTCCAACGCGACACTTCCCGTCAAGTCGGTGAGGGAGAGATCCCCAGCAGGGGAGACAGAAAGCATCCCCAAAAGCAAATGTGATGTACCACTCCTGCCCAGCAAATTCGCAATCTGGGTCAGTTTGTAGCACTGCTGGGGGGCAAACGTTGATGATGATCTTTGCAGAGAGGAACCAGAAGAGCCCAAGGAAGTCTGGAATGACTCGTTACGGAGTAGGCGCTGATATATAATATTATAGCGGTCCCGGAAAAGAGTGGTTTTGTGGGCAGATGGTGGGAACAAAGTTGGTTTAGCCCTTATGGCTTCGAAATACTTCTTGTCGACATTGTAAGTCAGACGCGGAAGGTCAAAAGCTCCAATAACTTTGATCCAACTTCTTGGGTGAAGCGAAACTTCAGTTTCGTCGTCCTCTTGATCCTCAATAGCCTTCGCTGAGACTAATGATGGCTGTAAGCCATCACGGCCCAATTCGGAGTCTCCATTCCTGTTGAGAATCGGTATAGTTCTCTCGTCGGCGGCCTTCCCGGTAATAACTCTTCCACCGCTCATACTACCCTCCAAGGTCTGCAAGATGGCCTTCAGCGAGGCCCCCTTGCCTTCTTCAACGATAACACCGCCTCCAGCCTTCTTCCAGCTTTTGGCTACCTCGTCCAAAACTCGCTCTGCGAGTCCTTCTTCGCGCCATCCTGAACCGCAGTTTTTCCCAACAAAGCTTGCTAGCGTTTGAAGTGCAGATGACGATATAGTCAAGTTATGCTTCCGAGTAAAAGTGCGAAAGGCCACAGGCCGAAGGGTGGAGGGAGGGAGCAAGATAGGCAGGATAGGCGCCTTCGTGGGACCATTTGTAGATTTTGTTATTCGAAAGGGGTGAACCGGTGTGCCAAACCCAGGCGACGATGATGGCACAGGATCCGATTCTGTCGGGATACGAGAACTCATGCGCGGTGTCCTGTCCATCTTGGCTTGCCCGCCTGTATTCCAGCGATTGTTTGGGAAAGACGCTGGGGGAGAATAGCCCAGCAGAATATTGCCTTGGCACCAATTGAGGAAAGCGACTTTTAAGGGAATGATATTGAAAATAACTCTGTAGTTGGGATCATTCGCAACTTCATATTCATGTCAACTACGGAGTAAAGAAGTAAAACATGTGACGAGAGTCAAGACGCGACACCACGTGCGGGCACGCGACCCGCGACGGAGCGGATAATTAATACTACAACCGTCGACTAGTTTCTTCATCAAGACTCGCGCAATTCTCATACATTCCTGCCTTTCTTAAATATCTTGGTTTGTCGCATCGCCGAGACGAAACGCTGTGACTATAAAAGGAAGAAAACGTCCACCATGACTGATACTGAGCGGCCGGGGTTGTATATGGCTCCTATGACGAACAACGCCGAAGAACAACGAACGCGGTTGGGAGAATTGGTTACTCGAGCTGCTGCGAAAGACGCCATCAAAGACCACAATGCAGCTGCTGAGCTTTACTCCGAGGCCACAGAGCTCCAAGCAGATTTGAATGGGGAAATGTCGCTTGATAATGCAGACCTATTGTTCGCTTACGGCAAAGCGCTATATAATGTTGCTGTCAGCAAAAGCGATGTACTCGGAGCTAAAGTGGCGGGTGAGCCACATGCGCAGTCAAATGCTGTAACTACCGAAAGCTCTACGTCTGTTGGATCGACGTCAGCAAGCGACAACCTTATTCAAAGCGCCGTGGCGAATGGCGCGGCTAAAAAGGAGGCCGGTGCTAATGAAAAAGAGCAATCTGAGAAACAAAATACGCCATTCTTCCAGTTTACTGGCGACGAGAACTTTGACGAGTCGGAAGAGGAAGAGGAAGATGAAGGCGCACAGGCCGATGCTGGCGATGAGGACGAGGATGATTTTGCCAATGCTTTTGAGGTGCTCGATCTCGCCCGTGTACTCTACCAGAAGAAATTGAGTGCGGCGGAAGAAAGTGACGAGAAAGGAAAATCAACGGAAGTGCCGTCCGAAAATAAACAACTCAAAGAACGCCTTGCGGATACGTACGACTTACAAGCTGAAATCTCGCTTGAAGGAGAAAGATTTCTGGATGCTGTCACGGATCTCAGAACGGCGCTTGATTTGAGGCTGGCCTTATTCCCCATGGAAGATCCCGCCGTCGCCGAATGCCATTACAAACTTTCTCTCGCCTTGGAATTCGGCGCCGTCAGTAAGACGGAAGAATTTGATGAACAAGATAGCCATAGCCAAAGCAAAGTGGATGAAGAGATGAGGAAGGAGGCGGTGGTCCAAATGGAGAAGGCTATTGAAAGCTGTCAAGCTCAGATGATTCAAGAACAAAAGAGATTGGATGGTGATGATGCCCCAGATGAGGACAAAGCAACAGCGCTGAAGAGGAGGATTGATAATGTGAAGGAGATAGTCGCAGACATGGAGCAAAGGGTGAGTTCAATATACTCTCTATCTCATGACTGATCAATGGCTTATACGTGTCTTCTTGCCTACAGCTTATTGATCTCCGGCGTCCACCGGTGTTGATTGAAGAACAAGAGCGGAGTGACGAGGCTGTCCTCAAAGGCATCCTCGGTCAAATTGTAGGCCAATCTACTGCTGAACAGACAGCGCGGTTGGATGCAGCGACGAAGAGCGCAACGGACTTGTCCGCGTTTGTTAAACGAAAGCCCGCTAGTGGCCAGTCTTCTCAGAAACCGGATTCCAGCAATAAGCGGCCTGTTGAACAATCTTCTCAAGGTAATGACGTGAAACGGGCGCGAGTGAGCGATGGCAACGTTGATAAATCTTAGGCGGGCCGAGAGGATGTTAGAGGAATGGTTTTTAGAGAATTGATCGGGATGATCGGGATGATACCCATAAAAAGGCTTTACCAAGGCTCGCAGTGTCCGTTTAATCTTTATGTTCATTTTCTTGTGGCCTGGGTTCAAAGATCTTGAAACGAAAGAATGGTCCCATTTTCATGCCTTTGTTATTATACATTAATGTTTATCGCCTCGATTATATGTAATTCAGGCATGGCGATTATGATATGGCCACTAGTATCAGGCGACGACCCGGCGTCATTATGTACCAGGTAGAACTAAAAGTCACATAATGCAGAACAATACCGCCAGGTCGTCAACCAAGACCGAACACTGTGGAACGATGGTTAGGCTTGCGACTCCTTCGACGCATAGCCAAATCAGGATTCCAGATCCCGGCAAATAAGTCCTCGCACTCATCCTCATCTTGGCTGTCAAAACTTGTATCTTCATCAAGTTTTGTACCCGAATTCCCGGAATTAACGGTGCCAAATGGTGCAGCGGAACCGATGTTTCTTGGAGGGGATTCCCAGCAAGATGATGCCGTGATCTTCTTGGTTTCCAAAATGAATTTGCCGACTTTGTATCGCTGCGATTCCTCATCAGCAGCAACATACTTCCAACCAAGCACACTCCCGCAGGAAGCACAGCTCATATCACTGACGGTATGCCCCCCTGTAACCAACTGGCGCCACACAGGCTTCTGCAGGATGGTATTCGGTAGCGAGATGGTTGGTGAGGATGATGCGCTCACGGAAACTGCACTGGCAACGGGCTCCGGGGAGACAAGGTAGGCACGGCCATGCTGACCATTGAAACCTTTGCTGACGATCTGAGAAGCCAAGCAAATATCTGCTGCACAGCGGGAGCAACGAAGATATGACACATGACCATCTAGATACTTTTCACTTTTCGAAAGATCGTGATCGTTGGGCTGAGAAGAATCACACCCCGCACTCTGTCGTGAGCGGAACACTGTGGGCGGAAGCAGGAATTTCGGAATCAGGGGAAGATTGAAATGATGTGCGTTCGGCATAATTGCTGGTTGGGTGGTCTGCCCTGGTGAAGCCTCTCTGTATGAATAGGGCGAAGTTGAATGTACAGAGTAGTATCTGGGGTTACAGGGCATGCATCATGCTGAGATCATACTATGACAAGGTACGAAGGTGGATCTACCGGGCCGCCGCAATGGAGCCACGCTAACTAGGTAAGGTAATACGTTTCTCGGTTGCTCCCCGCTGTACTCCGTACTATGTACTAATCTGTATTTGTACATATCCATGTATCTACTATTACTACATGATAGAGAAGAGAAACAAATACAATATTAATGCAGATAGAAATATCAACATACTGTATCTCCTGGAGAACATTTCCTCCCACAAGATAACACAAAAAAACCATAGAACAAAGAGATAAAAGAAATATATGGCTAGACTTCAGCGCACAAGAAGATCCACTTGGAACTAATCGTAGATGCGCTACAGTCTTCAGAAAGCCAAGGTCCCAATGTCGTCAAGTTAAACCCACACCACCCCAGGTTTCTCACAACTTCAAGTTCAGCTGTATCTTGCGAACGCTGGATGCAAGCAACGATCTGAGAACAGCCAAAAGCAGACATACCAGCAAGCTCGAAGAGTGCGATTAGTCTGCCATTTTATGGGTTAGCAAATGCCATAATGCCACTCCAAGGTTCAATGCCGAAACGGCCTTCAGGGCAATGAACCAGCCGGACAAATGATCACTTACCCGCTTTTGAGACCATGTCCCAATGCATTATCTTCGAAGAAGACGAACAATGTTCGCTCGCCGCTCGTCTCTGTCACAAAGCCTCGATAAATAGCATCGCTTGTGTAATCCCACATTTCCACCCACGATTGGACGCGCTTATATTCTTGTCTATTATGGCCCTGCTGATTAGCTTGGCACGCACCCACCTCAAGCAACTCCTGTCGCGCGAGTCTCCTCTCACCATGGAGCATCGCGGACAGTGTGTCGCAGAAGAGCCTCTCACACTCTCCCGAGATGGTGTGCGCTGCCTCCCTTCTGTATTCTGGCAGACTAATTCCTGGCCATATGCTCTCCATTCCCGAGCGGACGGTTGTATCGAAGGGAGGACTTAAAGAAGGGGGCTTCGATCCTGAAGGGACCTCAGGGATACCACTGTGACCCTACAGGCAAAATCAAGGTGGGCGTCAGCATGCAGTTGAAATTTAGATGAGGTAGCAATAGCAAAGAGAGAAAGAGATAGGGGGAGGGAGAAGAAGAAAGCCATACCGGTCCCCGTCGTAGTGCAGTAGTGGAAGCCCTTGACTGCTGAGGTCGGCTCAGTCACACTGTAACAGCTTGCAAGAACACTAGTCTGGGAGGCCTTGTTGATGAACTGCTGAAATTGGTTGCGATTACTACTGTTATTTTTGAGATATTTCGCCATGATGGAGGTTTCTTTTCCAGGGAGACGATGTATTAGTTTAAGAACAAGTTTGATTTGAGGTTTGATGATAAGCGACAGGTCTCGGAGTGAGCAACGGTAGACAGAGAGGCTATATTCGGAATGGCGAGATTATAAACTGCGTCTGGGTTGGGTGGTGATTTCTTGGAGGTTACGTTAGGTCGTGGTACGGAAAAGAAGCCTGACTGTCACCTGAGCTATATGCCTCAGGCATGACATGGCTCGGAATTGATAGTTAGCATCTCCGTCCCAATATTTTCTTCTCTCTACGGAATACAGAAAATATCTTTTTTTTTTTTTTTTTTTTTTCCCTCTTCTTTTATTATCTCTTCCCAGTGATTACTTGGACAAAATGAAAGTAGTTACTGCCAATTTTATAACATGTGCTGTCAAAGACTGCAAATCCTTTCCACTTCATTTTCGTGATGCCAAACTTGAACTCCAGGAGCTGGATTTTCAGGCTGAATTCATACAGAATATTATTCCTCGGCTTGATTGGGACAAGCTTCAGATAACTGCTAATGAAGTAAGCTATTACACCTGTCTTGAATTCTCATACTGTACTAACAATGCTTGCATAGCTTGGTTTCTCTAATATCTCAAACACCAAACCTAATGATGATGCTTTAAACAATGAGCAGATTCTGAGAGACCTGCACAAACTACTCTTGGAGATTCAGGTCATGGAAGGAAAGTTAATATGTGGGGATTGTGGCCATGAGTATATGATTAAAGAGGGAATTGCAAACTTCCTTCTACCTAGCCATTTAGGTTTGTGAATCTTGTACTGCACTTTTTCCAAGCATCCACTGATCTTATTATCTTGCAGTTTAAGAATTTCTGGATAGACAACTGTGGGCATCCATGCACTTAATTAGACAGGGAAGCCTTACCTTTTCCACTCTCTTCATCTCTTCAACGGACCCTTTGATACTATCTAATTCACAAGGAAAGCCCTTGGAAATAACCGGGACTAACTACTGACTGGTTGGGATGCTTGAAAGCCTAGTGAGTGATATTTTGGTTATAGGTAGTGATTTTTAGAAAAAAGAACAAAACCATGCGATTGCAGTATATACAGTACTAATAAAAATGCATCCATTCCCTATGCCCTTTCATGCAAAGAGTATACAGAAAAAGGAATGATGGGAAAAGGAAAAGAAGAAAGTGGAAAGGGAACATATGCAAATTCGATAAAACACCTCCAAACTCCTAGGCTGTAGCATAAACTTTAGGAATCGACAGAAAAGTAATGAAGCCCACAACTTAGTGGTCTCAAAGTTCCCGGTAATCACTTGGCCTGATTCTCCGATGCCTTGCTTGGTGCCGTTGTGGATTGACAGGTTGACGGAAATATGCCGTATCTTCTTCCCTGGCATAAGGCGTACTGAAGCTTGTTCGTTGTTGGTTAAGAAAGTGGCCCATTCCTGGTCCCTGCTGAAATCCTCGATTTTGTTGCATTGGACCTGCCATTTGATTCATAGGAAACATGGGCATAGTCGGCTCTCCAGTACCATTGTACATATTGGGTGCCCCGAAACCATTGTTAACCTGGTCGGAATAGATACCACTCTGAAGTGAATTAAAGTTCATGGCATTCATGGGGTTCCAGGTCATATCCATGTTATTGGAGAAACCGCCCATAGGGTTCATGAATGCCATTCCATCATTGGCAAATCCTGAATCTTGAAAAGACATTGCTGGCATGCCTGTACCTTGCACGAACCCGAAATTGCCGAAAGGCATCTGTTGATTGAAAGGGAGCGAAGGAAAGCTAGCTTGAGACTCGTTGTTTTGTACGTTTTGCGGCTCCGTGGAACTTCTGTTGTCATCGGGTTTTTGCTTCTTCGTCGATGAATTTTGATTCGAATCTCCGGATTCCGCTCGGCTAGCCTGGTCCTCCGCTGGTCTTTTCTTGGACTGCCCTTGCGTGATTTCACCGGCGGGAACAGGAGATGATGACCCTGCGATCGAGTCTTTGCCTTGGTCCGAGGGCTCCTTATTGATAGGTTTCCCATCCTGGGCTATTTGCTGCTTCTCTTTTTCTTTTTTCAAATCCGCGCGTTCGGCCTCATATGCTTTGATCTCGGAAACAGCTTCATGGTCCAAGGAAAGGTTATCGAGCAGAACACCTTCTGTTGCACAACTGGGGCAGACAAAGTCGCTTTCAATCAGAGCATTTGTGATGCAATCATTGCAGTATGTTTTCTGGCAGCATGGTGTCTTCGTTGGTTCCAGAAACATACGTTTATCGATCGGGCACTCCAGACCACGAGCTTGTAGTTCTTTACTGTACTCTGCTGCTGCTGCTTCAGCTGCAGCCGCTGCTGACGCTTTAGCTTTCTCCTGATACAATTCCCAAGCTGCTTTGTCAGGCTTTGCAATGACAAAATCGCCATCGGCATTGACCATAACGCCCGTATTCTTCAGATCTTCATTCGAGCCGTCCACCGTGAGAGATTCCGGTTTCTCAACTTTAGTCTGAAGAGAACGAGGTATTCCGGTTGAACGTTTTACTCTATACTTGCCATCAAACTTCGGGTCATTATTCGTGGGGCATGCTTGTATCCAATGACCTAAAATCACCGGTCAATATATTGCTACAGCCATTGTTGAACATTCTCAAACAAACCTTTCTCACGGCAACGGTAGCAAAGGTACCCTGGAGGCGGAGGATGATCAGGGACATTCACTGGTTTTCCTCTTCCACGACCGAAAGGGACGGGCGTAGCACTAGTCATTAATTTCTTAGTATGTAAACATGCATGTGACAGGGTATGCGCTCACTTGGCCATCTCTTGCTGCTGTTCCTTCCATTGGTTGGCTTGCAAGTTGAAAAGCGCATTGATCTTCTCATCTTCCGTCTGCGCATTATTGAGCTCCAAGACGCTGGTATTGACTGTGTGGCTAGCACCTGGGGTTGCTCGGCTTGATACAGATTGATCATTCCGCGGCGCACTGCGTGCATTAACAGGCATCTTTCCAGATACATAGCGAGCAGCTCCACCCTTTCCGGGTCGCGCGGCAGGGAGCCTTCGAGCTGTCACGGAGGTCGAGCGAGGAATGATTGTTGTGTCATCATCGTACTCTGCATTTCATTATTAGTTAGGCCTAAAAAGAGGGAAGGGGTGATGGAAAGAAAAGAGCCGGGGAACGAATCAATACGCAGATAGCAAAGATCATCAGTCTGTCATATAAACAGAACTTACCCTCTCCAGTGTCTTCGTTATAAATTGACAATTCGAAGTCAGACCCATCGCCCAGCCTACTCTGATTGATAATTTCTCGTTTCAATTCGAAGACAGAGATACCGGTGCCATCAAATGTTACCCGCGAGGGCTCTTTTTGAGATTTGAACTTGAAGTGAACAGAGGATGACATTGTATTCAATTGCACGTCCAATGAAACCGTTTGCGAGTGTAATTAGATCAGGAGAAAAAAAAAATGAGAGAGAGAAAAGAAAAGAAAAGAAAAGAAAAAAACCACTTTGAAAGCAGGATACAAACGACCATGAAGAGGAACACAAAAAGCAGTGGGAAGGGCTGGCAAATCGCCGATAATAGACTATGACCTGGGAAAAATATGACCAAGCCGACGCAGCCTTGTACAGCAGTTCCCTTATCAAATCCTCAACAGCTCAACAGGCCGGAAGCCCGATGACCTAGGTATCGACGAGACTTCGCGAACTGACAAATTTAGAAAAGAAGAAAAAAGTGAGAGTAAGAGAAGAAAATCTCTTGGTGGACGGTAAGTGTTCAAATCACTGTATACAAAACAAGATGAAGCTTGGTGGATACAAGAATGCAAATAGATATGGAGATGGTTTTGAAGGAAATGGGGGGTGTAAAGGGGAGAGGAAAGCAATAGAAATGCGAAGAATAAGATGAAACAAAAAAGAAGCTCTAGCCTCTTCACTCGCAACCAAAGCTGGCAACCTGTTACTCTCAACTCTCAGAGAAGCTCCAAGAGATGTTAGACTTTGTGCAATCTCCGATTTGATAAGCAATAGGCGATTGGTTAAGCAGGAGCCTAGGTGTAGAAAAGGAAGGCACTCCGGTAATGATTATATGCGAAGCGCGTGTCTTTTTCCAGTGAAATCGACTGTCGTATGGTCGGTAGGGGGTAATAGATCTGGGTAAGCAGGCTGAAAGGGACGGATACTCGCGAAAATATCGTTCTCAAACAGAGCAAGGCCGAGAGAAATGAAGACGCTATGTCTGTCTGCAATGTCGTCGTGGTACCCCCAATGTGAGATAGGACTGAAGTGCAGAATAGACGCGGATTTGATAAACTCTGTTCGTGGCAAGTCGGTTGAAGTCACATGACAAGAGCTTATCTGTGTAGTCACCGCTTATTCGACCGCCTTTCGAGTGTGCTAAAGGAATGCTTTCATAATTTCATGATAATCTATCATAGTTAAAACTCTAAATGTCTCTATTCACGGAAATACTACTATACAACTCATGGCTAGAAAGTCAGGAATCGGTTTCGAAGTCTCGAATGAGAAGTCCTTTGCTCTTCAAATGATCCTTGACGGCGCTGACTGTATATTCTTCACGGTGAAACTGAATGATGTTAATGTTGGTGAGAAAAGCACGTAGGTAGATTGTGGAGCTTACCATGCCTGCACCTAGGGCTGCATCAGTTGTTGTGTTCTTAAAAACCTCTGCAAAGTGGTCAGGAACGCCAGCACCACTTGATGCGATGACAGGTATCTTAATTGCAGCCTTCACATCATTAATTAGCTCTAGGTCGAATCCACTGTTGCTTCCGTCTTTATCGATGCAGTTGAGAAGGATTTCCCCAGCACCCATTGCCTCCACAGCTTTCACTAACTGCCGGACATCGAGATCGCGGCTCTCCCTTCCACCTTTGATGGTACATTGATACCAACAATAATCCTGTCCAGCAGCGTTCGGGTACTTCGTTTTTATAGTGTGGTGGCTCGTGTCTTCGGGTCTGCTAACGTATACACGTTTCGGGTCAACGCTCACAACCACTGCTTGGTTTCCATAGGCCTTTGATATTGTTTCTATGGCTGTCTGACCAGACAACCGTTCACCAGCCTCATAGAATTCCTCTGCTGCAGTGACTGCATCAGAGCCAATGCTGACTTTGTCAGCGCCGGATTTGAAATACATGGTCGCGACATGGAGAGCTGAAAAATGGGTACCATCTGTGTCAACAGTATCCTTGACGCCACCTCCAATTGTCAACGGCACAAACACGGTCTCCGATGCTCTTCGCAGGATTTCCAACATCGGGGTGTCCACGAGCGGGCAGTTCCTGAAAGACGTGATGTTCAGGAAAGTGACTTCATCGGCCCCTTGCTCGTAATATTTCTTGGCCATATCAACAGGCTTTCCCAAATTCCTTACTTGGCCTCCAGCGTCAACGCCACTTTTCTCTCGGACATCATATTGGTCACCTTTCGTGACGACAAGATCACCAGCATCATTCGTACGAACGTCAAGGCATGCGATGATTCTGCGTGTCAAGCCATCCTCTTTTCTCCCGGTTGTCGAAGTTTGTTTGAGCGATTGGCCTTGGTCCCCATTCAAGAACGCACGGAGCGTACGGAGCCCAGCCTGTCCGCTCTTTTCAGGGTGAAATTGAGTCGCAAATATATTCCCTCTTGCTACCGCTCCAATGAATTCCTCGTCCTTGTACGTGGCCGTAGCAACCGACCAGCCATCCTTCTCAAGAATTCCAGCTTCATATAGCGCTGCGTACGAATGCACGTAGTAATACTTGCTCTCTGGGTTCAGTCCGTAAAACGTTTGATTGTCTGAATTGCCGCTACTGGTGTTGACGGCAGAGTTCCACCCGATATGTGGTACACTTTTCGTGGTAGCATCGAACCTTTTCATTCGCATTGGGATCAAGCCCATTCCAGGAACATCGGGGTCCTCTTCAGATCCGTTAAAGAGGGCCTGTAATCCCACGCAGATGCCCATGAAAGGTTTCCCTGACTCTATATGCTGTCTGATATGCTCCAAGTAACCCCCCTCCGCTAACTGCGAAAGACAGTGGCCGAAATGGCCAACGCCAGGCAAAATGAGTTTCTATTACACCAAAGGTCAGTGCCAACTTTCGTGCACAAGTAGAAGAATTAGGCACTCACCTCAGCATTTTTCAAATCACTCGGCGACCTGACCCATTCGACTTCATATCCAACCTTGTTAATCGCGTTGACTAGGGAGCGGACATTCCCAGCAACATAGTCAAGAAGGTGAACAGTCGGCATGGCAGTGAAAAATTTAGACACTGAGTCCTATCACCCTAGGATAAAATAAGAAAAGAGCAAGGAGAGGTACAATTACAAAATGATTATAGACAGGGGAAAAATTATGTCCTCATGAGGGGTGCTGTACCCCACCGTGACCATGGCATAGGAGCTGAGTCATACTTATTTTTTTTTTTTTTTTTTTTTTTTTTTTTGTCCCTTCCCGGTACGAAATTTGTAGAATCAATGCTACTAAATAACAATAGCCCCTGTAATGAATTTTGACTCTCTGACTGTACTGAGTATTGGCAATGATGTATCTATATCTTCCAAGGCGTACATCAAATTTCAACAACAAAAGTTTCGTCTTCGATGCAATAACCGATTTATACACACCCTCGAGGTTTTCCTTGGGATTATGGCGCAACTTATTCGGGCCTGGTGTTCTCTAGGTTTTGGAGATAGATAAGTCCATTCCGAGGCTACGGGAGGACCGGATCAGCCTTAGAGCATGAATAAGAGGTCAGGGGTCTTACTGGAGAGAACTGCCTAAGTCGCACGCCAGCAGATTCAAGAATTGCAGCACTCTATCAGCCGTATTAGCTCAACCCCAACAGGCAAGATGCCAGAAACCCACCTCTTGGTCCATATTGTAGCCCTGTGAATATACAACTTCGAAGATCCCAACCTGAGCAATCTTGACAGTGCAGGTCAGGCAAGGGCAACTTTATTCAGTTTGGAAGGTCAGCCTATGACAAGCAAGCGAAAACTATCAGGAAATCTCACGTGTCGCAGTAAAGGATTGCCCCCTCTCGTATACGCTCTTTCCCAGCCTCCAGCAACGCATTTTCCTCCGCATGGATACAAAGACAGGTTGAAAGACCAACGCCTCCCCCTGCACCACAGTTACATCTCGGACCTACCGAAATGTAAGTAAAATATCCCATTGTCTTCGATTTCTGGGAAGATAGTAAGGATTCGTACATCCACCTTCATTGCAATTCTTCAGATGCCGAGGGGTCCCATTATACCCCGTACTGATGACGCGACGTTCTCGAACAAGGACGCATCCCACTCTCCTCTTCATACAATTGCTCCTCTGCGCAGCAAGAGATGCAAGCTGCATAAAATACTGGTCCCAATTTGGTCGTAAACGTTGCTCGTCAGCTAGGTCAAGTGTCTTTAGAGCAGCATGCAATTCGTCAAGGGATGACGATGAGTTAAACAATCGAGCTTGCGCTCGATCAGTCAAATAGGCACGACCGATATCCCTGTCATACAAGTGCCTGTCGTTCCAGATAACAAATTCCTCAAGAGCTGGAGTCTCGATTTGTCTTTCCCGGCATCTACAGTAAGATGTCAGTCACATGGCTAACCACAACACGAGACTGTTTCTGGTAGCTGACCTGTCCGTGAACCGCTTCCATCGGAGACTAACCGGTGCATCAACACTCACGAGAAGAAAGAAGGGTCGCTGAATGAGGCGATCCAACGTGGCGCCATCCCAGATGTCGGTTGTGACCCAGAATTCCCGCCATCTCTTGGTTACGAATTCTAGAAGCAAATCGACATTCTCAAATACTACCTCCGCTGACGGCGCATTACCCTGTCCGCTAGCCTCGGAGGATTGTAACTGAACACGATTTCCTGGCTCATCACTCATTTGGGGGTAATTTCTATTTTTCAGTCCAAGCAAATGAAAACCTTGGTGCTGAGTCAAGTATTCTGCAATGGCATGCTTGCCAGAGCATATGCCTTCAGTACTTTATCAGTCCATGTACTGTTCTGTTAAGAGAGATTCCTGCTGCCAGATACTGCTAACCTCCACATAAGCCAATAAGCATTTTCAGGAATTTGGCGAAATGACCGTAATAATTGAGATTCTGTCCACGTGTAGAGAAAATGGATGCGAAATTGAGCATGTGAAGAGGGAAGCGTCACAATGGCTGGGTTACTTCCCTGGCTACCTC